AAGAAACATTTTTGGCACTTGAAAAATGATTTATTTACTTTTATAACAAAATTTTGGAATATCCCTTTGGCAATCATGTTTGGCATGGTAAGCCCCATGTTTGTGAAAAATATCTACAAGGAAATATGACATGGATATAGCCATGAACTTGATCATTTGGCTTGAAAGTCATGAACCTTTAAAGATGATAGTCCATTTCGTGAACACTTTTTTTAAATAATCATTGTAGTTTATCATTTTTCCTGAAAATTAGTACATATAAAAAGACTCCATGGAAAAGGATTGCATTTTTGAATCTTTTTTTCATTTTATTTCACTTTTTTTAAAATGGGGTAACTTTTTTTGTGAATACTGCATATAATCCTACCTAAGTACCTTAAAATGTTTTTTTTCACTTTTTGTAACCAAACTATAACACACTTGTAGTTCAATTTTGAATTGCTTTTGGTAAATGTCCAAAAATCCATTTAATCAATGGAATATAGTAAAAAAAGGCTCAAAACTCAAAATCTTTCGATATTAGGCCTCCAACATGGTCAATTTCTTGTGAAAAATGCAAAAGTTCAATTTTCAATCTTATTTGTGGTACTTGCTTCACAAAAAAACCATTTTTGGCACTTGAAAATGATTTATTTACTTTTATAATAAAATTTTGGAATCTCCCTTTGGCAATCTTGTTTGGCGTGGTAAGCCCTATGTTTGTGCCAAATATCGTCACCTTATATGGAAATATGACATGGTTATAGCCATGAACTTGGTCATTTGGCTTGAAAGCCATGAACCTTCAAAGATGGTAGTCTATTTTGTGAACGGTTTTTTTAATAATCATTGTATTCCTAGTTTATCATTTTCCTAGAAATTGATACACATAAAAGCATTCCATGTAAAATGATTGCAATTTTTGACTTTTTCATTTTCTTTCACTTTTTGCAAAATGGGCTCAACATTGTCAACATAGCTCTTCATAGAAAGGGGTTGAATCTTTCAACTTTTTGTGAACACTGCATATAATCCTACCTAAGTACCTTAAAATGATTTTTCCCCACCTTTTGTAACTAAACTATAACACACTTGTAGTTCAATTTTGAATTACTTTTGGTAAATGTCCAGAAATTCTTAATCAATAGAATATAGCAAAAAAGCTCAAAATCTCAAAATCTTTCAGCAGTAGACCTCCAATATGGTCCATTTCATGTGAAAATTGCAAAAGTTCAACTTTCAATCGTATTTGTGGTACTTGCTTCTCAAAAAACAATGTTGGCACTTGAAAATGATTTATTTACTTTTATAACAAAATTTTGGAATCTCTCTTTAGCACGGTAAGACCTAAGTTTGTGCCAAATATCGTCGCCTTATATGGAAATATGACATGGATATGATCCATTCCATGTGAAAATTGCAGAAGTTCAATTTTCAATCTTATTTTTAAATTGTGCGGCCAGAGTCGGGGATGAAGCAGTCGATTCGGTTGTTACACTACATCAAAGCACATACGACTCACCGGGATGGAAGAGGATGTTGAGGCGGTTTCAGAGGTGCTCTCAATTCATCGGTGTGGTCGGAGACAAGCGCGCGACTCTGATCAAGCCGGTGCTAGGATTCCACCGGGAGGAGAGAGAAGAGAGGGAGAGTGAGCATGCGAGCGAGGGCCAGAGAGAGAAGAGCGAGGAGGGTGTCCTTGATGCGGGAGTCTGCGGGCTGCCTCCAGCCACGTAGCCACCTCCGTCGTGCCTAGTGTCCGTCGGCATGGCTAGAGAGTTGGGGAGCTTTTTTCTTCCTATTTCCCTTTGCTCTATTGGTCCCACATGTGAGAGAGAGAGAGGAGGAGGAGGAGGAGGAGGAGGAGGAGGTGACTCAGTGCCCAAGCTCAGCTGCACCCGCAATGAGCAAAAAAAATCACAAAAGATAGTAGAAAATTCAAAAAATCTGATTTTTTGCATGGAAGATAATTTGGTGCGTGAGGTGTGCTCCAAATTTCAGATCATTTGGATATGTGAGCAGCGCTCGACAAAAAAGACAAATTTGGAGTTTGTGAAAAAATTTACTGTTCATGTATTGTTCTGACCCAGTTTGTCTTTGTTGTTGAGAGCAACTCATGTGTTCAAATGACCTGAAATTTGGAGCGCACCTCACATACCAAATTGTCTTCCATGCAAAAAATCAGATTTTTTTTATTTTTTTTAGAATTTGTTTTGAAATTTCTCTTCATCGGGTGTAGATGAGTGTGGGCTCAAAAATGGATATTTGGATAGAGTAGTGGGTTTGTTTTTTTAGCAAGGGCATGTTGACATGTCAACATTTTAAGCAGCCCCATACGTTAGCATTTTTAATGGTTCCACTCGTCATGAACTCATCCATCTAACGGTCAACAGGCTTGACCCAACGGAAATGCTCTGTTTGGGCATCTGTGAGGTTCAAGTGGAGGGTGAAGGGAAAAGGTGAGGAAAACTAAGACGGTTGGGTAAAAGTGGGTACAACTAAGAAATCAGGGGCACGAAAATAGAAATTCCTTACAATAATCTATTTATACTAATATAAAAAAATCCAAAGGGGCAGATCCAATTAATCTCGGCCATCAAATCATGTCAATCCAACAACCTAGACTGTTTCAATGTCGAGCGCTCAACACATTTAGCGTGCAATTAATTTCATGTCAAATATGGTGTTAATCACATAATAACACACAAATAATATCCTACTTAATATCCACATGCATTTAATATACTTCCAAATTAACGTGCATTGCACGTACACATTGACTAGTACCAATATAAAAGACCCAAATGAGCAGATCCTACTAATCTCGGCCATTAAGCTAGATCAGTCCAACGTCGTAAACTGCTCCAATGGCGAGCCCTTAACCTGTTTACCGTGTAATTAATTAATATCATATCAAATATAGGACTAATCATATATTTAACATGCAAAAAATGTCTTGTCTAATATCCATATGCAATTAATATGCTGCCTAATATTAACATGCATTACACGTGTGTATTTACTAGTCACAGAAAGAAACATAAAACGAGCATGAGTAACATCTCTTCATTTCAACGAAAAAGTTTTCGTTTATCAAAAAAGCATCTCTCAAATTGTCAATGATAGGGAATGTAAAAGGAGAGCCTATCATTGTATTGATAGTCTTCATATTTGATTTGTTGTTGAAAGGATTGAATTGTTAATAATGTTGTAATATATTAGCAACGAGTGTAAGCAAACCTCGGTAGCAGCTAGCAGAAAGTCAGCACAATCAGATGTTGCCTCACACAATGTGGAATGCGCGCTAGACACGTGGGATTTATTCCGTATTTTGCATTGTCGGGTGTAGAGGCAGTAAGGGCATATTCAACGCCATCCATCAAAACGGACACTGTAAACGTTCGCAGACAGTGCTAGCGGAGCCCACCGTCCAACCCGCTGCACCAAATAAACGTGAACACGTCATTTTCATTAATACTTAGGATTTTTTTACATCGCAAAAGTTAACCGACCCAAGTCTACTCTTTGCCGACCGTGGGCACGTCTGTCTTCCACGTCCTACTCTTCGCCGAGTCTGCCGCCTAACCGTGGATGTCCCATGTGGATGTGAGGTTGACAATCGACGTGGACGATCCAACCTCGTAGTCATTTTAGCCTGATGTGAACAACGCAGAGGTCCCGACATTGGCAGCATTCATGTCTGCCACCGCTTGTGCAGCCTCCACGCCCGCCTTTGCCGTGACTTCCACCAAGATGGCGTCGCGGTAAAAGGGTCTTCCACCACCCATGGTTGGTCCCGGCCATTGGTCACAAAGGTCGAAGAAGGAAGAAGGGAAGAGGTGGTGCATTGATGGAGTTCGGACGAAGGGAGATGGGGCTCTGTGGTGGTGCAGGTTTTTGCCGTGGCTGGCGCTTGTTAAGTAGTGGGCGCCCGTGTTGGCAGCGCAATGGCTTCTCGTTCGCCACGCTAGCTTGAATGCGGTAGGAAGTCATCCCGTCGCCTCGTCCGGTCAAGTTCTCTTTGAACCGGCATTAACGCGGCATGGAAAGCGAGCGCACGCGGTGCAAGGGGCAGGCCAGAGCAGACGCCTCGACAGGTGCACCAGTGTGAATGTTGTGTCGTTCGGCTGGCATGGGCCAGTGACCGGTCGCGTCCATTCTGGATCGGCATAAATGTGGCGTGGGGAGCAAAGTAATGGTTGGATCGGAACAAGAGAGGGGGGGGGGGTTGTGTCGGTCGAGGGTATCAGACACCTAGGTGGCGGAGGTCCGAACACCCACAAAACTCCTTCGGCTTTGCTTCCGGTTTGCAGGAATTCGGACGTCTGGACACCCACAAAACTTTTTTGGCTTTGCTTCTGGTTTGTAAGAATTCGAACATCCGGACCGGTCTGCATTTTGATGGATGGCGTTGGACATGCCCTAATTCGGTAAAAAAAATGTGTAGCGTCAGAAATATACAATGCACATAAATGCCTGCGAAAATCTGTGATGCTAACTACAGCACAATCATACTCCCTCCTTTCCGGTTTAAAAGGCTCATTTGAAAATTTTCTGATTTCCATTATAGGAGTATTAGGCTCACTTTAAGTACAGTTGAGTTAAAGTGTTTTGAGTCTCATGCCACATTTAATTCATAGAGATAAAAGAGAGGGAATTAGTGGTCATGCATGCATCTTATTCTACATAAACCATGCAAGTTCAATGAGAGGAAGGGTGCTATACTTATTGTTTTGGGAATCGAATATGTGAGAAATATTTCACTGGGCAGTTTTATATCCACAAACTTGTGCCATCCACTCGCAATCTATCTTGGTTGATAAGATTTCATATTTGAGCAGAAAGGAAGACATTTTGATATATAAATCTTACAGTAACCGTACACAGCTATACAGTGACGTGTTAATTGCAATTCAGCGTTCGTCTGTCATCAGTATTTACAGTACATCACAAGTGAGAGAAAACCAGTTATATATTCCCTTCATATCTGCCTCGAGCCGTAGCCTGTAACTGCACTTGGATCATCTGCCTCCCTTCACAATTCTAAACTGGTCCCGGATCTCCATCGTGCCTGAGCTTACAAACTGAAGAAAACAGAGCATCAGGTGTTGTTTTTTGTCGAGGAAACTGAGCCTCAATTGTAAACTTCGTATGTAAAACTTCCCAAGAGAAGAAAGAAAGGAAGGTGAAGCTTACCTGAACCAATACACTGGTCCTTGTGGCGTGCACCCTGGCATAACCGAACTCTGAAATCCTCGACACGCTCCAGCTCTGCGGCTGAAATATGGACGACATCAACAAGAGGTTGTCAGAGGACCATACATATCAGGTACTAATGCAAGATTATGAATTTCCAATCATCTCCGACGTCCTACAATCCACTGTTAAAATTTCGTTGTTTGAGCTCTTACAAACAGAGAGAAGTCGTCCAAGCTGAACCCTCCTGCTCCAACGATGGCATGGACTGGCGCAGTGTAGTTGCTATTATCGTAGGTGTCGATCCCATTTGCATCCTTCCTCGGCATGCCTCTGCACTTGCCATTGTACACCGCGCAGGTCCTCTCGTAGTTGTGCACATGGCCGAAGAAAACCAAATCCACCTGTTACCAAAATATGTCAAGCAAACAGCTTCTTGCATACTGAATATGATGCGTTGCAGTGTGATCTTCTTCTACCTTGTTCCTGAGCAAGAGTGGCTCCACGGAGGCAACAAAGTTCGGGTCCACGCTGGGAATTATGGGAATTATACCCACATTCGATGAGTACATTGGTCTATGCCTGCATTGGTCATCAAAATGCAAGGTGTTTACTTGCAGGCACGACAGCAAGACAAGAACAAGTCACTTGGTTCAGAAAAGAAAAGGACAACTTTTTTGGTTTCGATTTTAAGAACTCACCCGATGAAGATCACCCATGGAGTCCTGGATCGATCGACCGACGACAAACCCTTCTCCATCCAGTTATACTATTCACACAAGGCGTCGACGTTGCATAGAAACGTCAGCATGCAAACAGCTGCAAAGTCTGAAATAGGAACGCACGACTGCTGTCTGCTGGTAAAAAGAACGTACTTGCTCCGACTTGTGTGACCAGGAATGCTCCGTGGACATGACGATGAAGTGGACGCTGCCTTGCTCGATGGAATACCACGGCTTGTCCTTGCCGGCAGCGGGCATGGGGAAGTAGGTCTCGTACGCGACGCCGCATTCTCCGCCGGAGTCCGGTGTCTCGTACACAGACCCAGACCCTGCATAATCCCTGGAAAAGAGAAACACGCCATTTCCTTCATCAGCTCATGGTACTGAGGATGTTGCTATCCGGCGGCCATTGCTAGCTCGAGGCTGATTGGCGGTGATGAGCGCGAGGTTGGCGTTCTGGGTTCAGAAATCAGTCACCTCTCGTGGTTGCCGATGGCGGTCATGTAGGAGACCTGAGAAGCGAGCGGCCTGATGAGGTGGAGGAAGAAGTCCCACTCCACCAGAAACCCCGTGGCGTAGCTGATGTCTCCGATGTGGAAGATGGAGTCGACCTTCCCGGTCTGCATCTCTTTGGCGACTGCTTTGGTCACAGCGATCGATCCCGGCTGCAGATCGACGTTGTGACGACGAGACGGGCATTAGCATCGGAAAGGACGATGCATCATCTCACATAGAAACGTAGTATATCCGTTCCTAAATATAAGACGTTTTCGATTTTGGTACCTGAATATAGTGTTCCACCGACGGGTCTAGTGGAGCCTTCCCCATGTCGCCATAGACCACAAAGGACGTCTCGTCCGACCCTGCAGCTGGAGGGGTTCTAAACTTGACAGTGTCACTCCAACCCACAGAATCACTGCACACACAAAATATAATATATATTACCAATCGACTCCCGATTATCCATGAAGCATCTTAATCAGCACTGCACTGCTTTGCCTTCGATTTTACTGGATAGGAAAACAAAATAGCCCCAGACAAGCACGGTATTGTAGTAATGGTAAGAACTTCACCTTCCATAGCGATAGGCATAGGACTGAGAAGGCTGGAGGCCGGTCATGACGGCCGAATGGATGTAGCCGGGGTCGTGCCACCCGAAATCCTTGGCCGGGCTCGGCAACAGGGGCGCACCTGCACGCATACAGGCAGGGCCGAGTGGCAACTGAAGGTCAACTCTTCCTTGTACAATGTACAGCATAATCATTTCTTTTTCTTTTGAGATGCACGGAGTACAATGTGCTACGTATAATCTTGGTATGATCGACAAGCATTCGACCACTCACTGCACATGTCCTTCTGCGTGAAGGTCGTGGCGACGGAGGCAGCCGCCCTGCCCCCTGCGTACTGAACCTGCTGCGGCCTCCCGTCGCCGCTCACCCACGTGATCTTCATCTGGTAGCACAAACCAGGACCATGGAAAAAATCACTGCAGATGAATAAATGCTCGGCGTCGAGGTGGGTGCTCGATCACCTACGTACGTACCGAGGTGGCGGAGGAGTCGGTGCTGGAGAGGTGGCCGTTGAGCGGCTTGGCCGGGTTGGCGAAGCGGAGGACGCCGGAGCGCTTGAGGAGGCACGGCGTCTGGAACCCGCCGGCGAAGAAGACGAACTCCACGTCCGTGCGGAAGTTGACGACGTGGAACGTCAGCGTGGCGCCGCACGTCCGGACCTGGCAGCCGCCCGACGCGTCCCGCTTCTGGCACGCCGCCTTCTTGCACCCGAGGTAGCCCGGGTCGCTCTTCACCCGCTGGGCCTGCATCCAGGTTCGTCGTGACAAGTGTGTTCTAAACGCTCTTATATATCTTTACTTTTTTTTGAGGTAATCTTATATATCTTTACTGAGGAAGTACTTATTATCTACCACAGCCCTCTAAGCAGGCCTTGACAATTGCTCGTGGGCCAACATTCGCTTTCATTTTTCTTCAAAAAAAAAGGAAAGAAAAAACGAAGGTCCGAGAGAATAACTCTTCTTCGTATCTTTACGCTAGCGGCGCCCCATGCATATATGATCCGGTTTTTCTCTTTCCAAAAGGAGGTTCACGTCATGCTCTCATCCATGCAACAGCACACGCCGTGCGTTCATGTGCGCCCATACGGATATAGCCGGCGTAGCACGCTTGAGAGCTCGGCATGCTTCAAGGATGGCCACTTCCGGCGAGGCTAACGTACGCACATGACTGGACCGTGTAACGAATCATAGCACTGCCTTTGTGTAAACACAACAACCTCTTAACGGAGGGCGGGAAATTAACTTGAGCAATGGTGTACAGGATCGGAGTTGTTCACGTGACGACATGCCGTGCTAGTACGAAATATATCGAGTGCATGCATGTACGTACGTACTGATGGCTACCGCTAAAACATGAAAGCGTACGCGAGACTCACAGCGAGAGGATCGATCGTCTCTGTGGCAACTACTACTAGATTCTACTGTGGCGAAGCGGTAGCTAACGGTCAGCTGGCTAGTAGTGCAGGCGAAAGGCAAAAGGTTCTCACCTTCACAGGGTAGTGGCACAGGAGAGGGAGCTTCGCCGTGTCGCCGGTCTCGAAATAGTTCACGCCGCTCAGTGGACACCCGGAAACGCTGCGCCCGCGGCATGCACAGAGACTATTGTTAGTAAATGATTCACATGCAGGTCCATCATCAAAAGGCAAAACGATCGTGAACACTACGTACGTACGTCCTTGAAAACGAATCAAATCACATTTTTTTTCCAAGCTTAGATATGCAGGAGGATAAACCAAAACATCACATCAGTTGATGTAAGTTTGAAAGAAAAAACAGCAGAGGAATGTTCCTCTCTTCTCTAGAGTTGTGCGTGCGTACCTGGAGTTTGAAGGCGTGATCATGGCGACCCAGTGCGAGCCGCGGGGCCTAAAGACGCCGCCGACGGTGACGTTGACGAACGCCTCGTCGGGCAGCGGGCCGGCGGTGGTGACATTGATGGACAGGTACGGGCTCGGGTTCAGGCACGACTCCAGCGGCCTCCGGTTGACCGTCCTGAACTCGGACTTCCCCGCGAAGCTCTCGTGCAGCATCTCCGGCGGCGGGAGCTGCGCCGAGCACGAGCCGGCCGCCGCACAGAGGCCGAGAAGCACAAGGAGGAAACCAGCACGCCCGCAAGGAGCGAAACCCATCGCCCGGAACCGCTCCGGCGCGCGCCCCCTCCCCGCGTACGTACAGTGAGTGAGTGATACGCTCTACGCGGCGCGCAAAGTGCACGGACGGAGCCTGCAGCTTATACTGGCGACGTACAATGGCGGTGGGGAATGGAGGAGGACACACCAACACGAGCGCTGTGGGGACGAGAACGAAGAGGGCGGGGGCATTGGGATATCAGCGCAGCAGCGTCGTCCCCGAAAGCGACCGGGGCGGGAGGAGGAGGAAGCTATAGCGGCACGCACGCCGCGGCGGGGAGGGAGCGCGCGGGACGGTACAAATTGCGCTGATGATCTCCAAGAAAATACTTCGGCCAGTAGCACAGTAGTATATCCTTCCGGTGATGCTGGGAACTTTCAGGCGGCTGGTAACATCAAGATTAAGGTGTCGCTTAGCGTGAACGTCTTCCGTCGGTTCTTGTCAACTGTCCTGCTCACGCGTCAAGCTGAGCCGCAGCGAAGACTAGGGCGTCACGCCATAGTGCAAGCCGTGTCTATGTGTGTACTATGAGGTAAACATTCAAATGGTTCAGACGACGCTTTCCCGTAAAGCTAATTAATCACCGATATGCAGGTGAATTAAATACTATAACAAGGCAATGGCAATCAGAAGTACGGGCATGGCAAAACATCCTCTTCTTTTTCACAGAAAATCAGTTCCATGATCCCAGCAACAATATCTTTTGAATAGAGGGTCTTTTTACATCAGAGCACAGTTTCTCACTGGAATACAACAGGCTTTAAAACAGTTGTGACAGGACGAACCAGCACTGCCGTGTGTATGCACCGCAAAGATTTCACCTGCCATGCTGTTGGGCAAAAGAACAGATGATCAACAAAGTTGACAGGACCCAATGTTGTAGTAGAATTTATTTGAAACACTTAGGGCTGCACATTGTTAGCAACAGAACGCCTGACAAGAACTAGTATAGAATCAAATGGCTTTTTCAGCCGCTGACCTGACACCCCATTGTTAGTCTGCATTCGTCATCTCTGAAAGGCCAAAATGGCAATGTACTCAAAGAAATCTTTCTCTGTCATCTCCAGTCCTATGGGCACGATGAAGATGGAAATCAGTACATGACCACGAGGATGTCCAGTCATGAGTTCGGTTTGCTCATAACACGTGATCACATATTCATATGCATGTGAATCGCCTGTGTCAACCAAATCATTCTTCTAATATCTCAACTCATAATCCCCAATAGCAGTGATCGACTTACCTCAACACAATATTGCAGGAGATTAGACCGGAAATTTGTATTCATTCCGCTGATTCCCACAAGGCCCAGCTGGATTTCATCAACCAACGTGTGGAACTATCCGCTGAATACATCTGTGGCAAGTCTAAGAAAAAGAGTATCATCCAACAATTCAACCCAAAACTTTGCAGACGTTGAACCGAGCAAAAGATCAACTGACGGCAGGAACAATCAAGCCAGGTGGTTTGCCCGCCTTAATGGAGCTCGACCCTCTGTTGTTCCGCACATTATGTTCCTCCATCAATCTCCTAACCTTCAACACATCATCCCACCGCCCACCCATGGCATACAGGTCAGATATAAGAGTATATAATCCAGCATTTTCATCAGATATCTCCATTGCCAATACTTTCTCTAGTCCCTCCATTGCAATGTCAAAATTCTTAAGCCTCTTGCAAGCCGCTAGCAACGAAGTCCAGATGATGATATTTGGCTCCACTCTCATGGTCTTGATAACATCATAAGCATCTTCCAACTGACCTGCCTTTGCAAAGATATCAACCATGCACCCGTAGTGATGTATAGTTGGCTCAAGGTCATATTCCTCAACCATAAGTTTAAAGAACTCTCTCCCTTGCTCCACCAGTCCAGCATGCCCGCATACACTGAGCACGGCAGTGAATGTCATCTCATTCGGTCGCACTCCTTGCCGGCGCATCTCCTCAAACAGCTGGATAGCCTCGTCATAATGCAGATGCATAGCCATCCCACAAATCATTGCAGTCCAGTGCATCACTTTCCTGGAGGGCACCCGCGCAAAGATACGGGAAGCATAATCGAGGCGGCCAACCTTTGCATAGCAATCAATAAGCGATGTCCCAAGGTGCATACTGACTGCCTGGCGCCGCACAATATACCCGTGAATGGATCTGCAGAACGGCTGCAGCAAGCCAGCCGCCGCACAGCCTGTGAGGACGGTGACAAGCATTACATAATCTGGAGCAAGTGTGGTGGTGAATGTCATTGTGCGGAAGAAGGCAAGGCCATCAGCTACGCTCTTATTGGAGAAATAGCAAGCGAGCATGGTCGACCAAGAGACGATGTCCTTGTCGGGGATGTCGTCAAAGAATAGACGTGCGGACGCGAGGTCAGAGGAACGGCACAGGGACGAAAGCATTACGTTGACAACAAACAGGTTGGAAGTGGCAGGGGGCATTTGATCGAACAGGTGGTGGGCGACCGCAGGGGAGAGGAGTGAATAGGAACGAAGGAGCGATGAGGCGACCTGGGGGTAGGCGAGGAGGTTGGACCTGATGAGGTGCGCGTGGAAGTGGGAGAGGAGAGGGAGGGAGCCGGCGGCGGAGAGGGGCTTGAGGGCGAAGACGGCGGCGCGCCCAGCCAAGGAGGGGTCTGAGGGCGGGAGGTGGATGCGGAGGAGGGAGTACAATCGGAGGGCCGAGGAGCCGCAAGAGGCGCCGCGGAGGGAGGTGAGGAGTTCGCCGGCGGCGAGGTGGTGAGGAAGGGACATTGGGAGTAGGGGTCCGGCGTCGTGAGCGGCGCGACGCCGGCGCGGCCGCTTCGGTTTGGAATTGGGGCGGGACTGCTGGACCGTGAAACTTCCTGCTTCGGCGAGGCGTTGGCTCGGTCGAGCAAGTTGGGCTGCATCGGACTGCTGAAAGCCTGCTCGATTCTTTCATGGGCTCTTTAAGAAGATCGTCGATGGGGTGCTACTCCGTTCCCGTATTTGTCTGGATGTATCAAGTTACATTTTAGTATTAAAAATATATTTGTATCTAGACAAATTGAAGATGAGAATTTTGAAACGGAAGGAGTACTATTTATCCAAAATCACTAGTTGAGAAGTACTTGTCTCAAAAAAAACTAGTTGAGAAGTATTCGTTGCAAAGATCACTCCAACTTCTCTGGTTGCGACAAATGGTGTGCTGCAACCTGGGAGTTTTTTTTTCATAGATTCATTTATTCAAAATGTTTTATCTCTTCACCAAATCTCGAACCGCTTTCATCGTTGGATTCCTCGCGTCGAGATCTTTAAAACTAGATCATGTGTTAATAAGTTTTGACGAACTTTTTTTTCTAAAAAAATGAACGAAAAAATCAAAACGGAAGCACGGATTTTTTTCCTTTCCGAAAGAGGCACGACCGTGACTCTCGCGAAAGCACACCCGTATCTCTCGCGGAAACAAAACCGTGACTCTCAAGAAAGGAAGAAAAAACAGAAAACGCGTTTTTTTCCGTTTCCGAGAGGCACGGCTGTGACTCTCACTAAAGCACAACCGTGCCTCTCACGGAAGCAAAACCTTGACTCTCGCGAAAAAAAAACAGAAAAATGCGTATTTTTATCGTTTCCGAGAGGCACGGCCGTGACTCTCGCGAAAAAAAAAAAACAGAAAATATGTTTTTTTCGTTTCCGAGAGGCACGATCGTAACTCTCGCTAAAGCACAACCGTGCCTCCCACGGAAGCAAAGCCATGACTCTCACGAAAGAAAAAATAATAGAAAACGTGTTTTTTTTTGTTTCCCAGAGGCACTGCCGTAACTCTCGCGAAAGCACCCGTGCCCTCGCGGAAGCAAAACCGTAACTCTCGCGAAAGGAAAAAAACAGAAAACTTGTTTTTTTCGTTTCCGAGAGGCACGGCCATGACTCTCGCGAAAGCAAAACCGTGCCTCTTGCGGAAGCAAAAACGTGACTCTCACGAAAGAGAAAAAAGAAAACATGTGTTTTCGCGCAATTTTTTTAAAAAAATTATCGAAAAGATAAGGAAGACCGGTGAAAAACCAAAACATTGAAAAAAACCGTTTAAAAAGCCGAAAACGCATGCGAATAAATAAAAACAAAACACGTGGCGAATGGCTGAGAGCGTGCCAAGTGGCGCTGATCGTTGCGAGGCTCCCGAAGGAGCGCTCGTTAACTAGTTGCTCTCCTATTTAGCGAAATTCTCTTGTTACTCAAGAAAAAAATAGCGAAATTCTCTTGTTACTCAATTTTTTTTAGCGAAATTCTCTTTACCACCAAAAAATATATTTAGTACAATTCTCTTCAAAAAAAATACTCCCTTCGTCTTAAAATTCTTGTCTTAGATTTGTTAAAATACGGATGTATTTAGTTACGTTTTAGTATTAGATACATTCATATTTAGACAAATTTAAGACAAGAATTTTAAGACGGAAGGAATAGCAAAATTCTACCACTTAAAAAATAGCGAAATTCTACTACCGCTAAAAAAGCAAAATCCTGCTCTCTTTTTTTTTACTATTTTGCGAAATCTCCAAGATGATGTAAAATAGGGACAGACTATTTGCACTTTTACTTTTGAAGAATCTGCTGCAAACTATGAAGCACATAATCTAGCTAAGTTTTCGCTTACTCTAGTTCAGGGACGCCACATGTGGTTTGGCCAACGCCATGACATGAATTGTATCCCACATTTCATGATTTTCGATCAATAAAACTTGGATTTACCCCTCAAAGAAAAAATTAGTGAATTCAACAAAGATGATGTATAATAGGGACTGACTAGCTAGCGGGTACCCCTGCATCGGCCTCCCAGTGTGTGGCGCAGGGCACACAACACACGGGCTGATGCTGCATGGTGCGTCCAACCATCATCATGTGTCGCATGTAGGGCGCATTCATGGGAGCACATTTTTTTGTGCATGCATTTTTTGGGAGGGGGTTCCTAGGTTTTTTTTTTACTTTTTGGATTTGGCTTGTTTGTTTGTGTCCAAAATAAGATTTTGTTTGGTATATTCAAGGTC